AGGTTGTCCTTTATCAGCATAGCCCACAGAATCCATCAACAGTTATCATGTGTCTTAGCTTGCTTAAGTTTTCAACAACTATAATAATTTTTCTGGAGTGCAAAAAAACCCCAAATGTCCTGGAACTCCAACAAAAATGAAGACATTGTTTTCATGTTTGGCATTCCAAAAACAAAGTGTGGCAGAAATTTGAAGATGTTTAATAATCCGATGCAATGGCATCGTTTGTCATCAGTATGTCAGCTTTGTTATTCTCTTTACAGTTCTAGCTGTTGAGAGAGGAGATTTTTTAGGGAGCTTGGAGTTACCTGAGCTCCTTGTTGAATAATAATTCTTCATCGTCTTTCCCTGCATTTTGTCTTTTTACTATTTTCATGGAATCTTCTTATGTTTGGAAGCTTATCTCATGTTGATTATTGTTCTGTCACTCTTGGAGATAAGCAGTTTTTGAAATTTTTCCCTTGATACCGGCATTTGCAATATTTGTTTCAAAATGTTGGAAATACTGGTATGAGGTGTATTGATATTTAAATTTACATTAAAAGAAAGAGCAAAGACCCAAGGATTTTTTTACTGTATGTTGCTCGTCTGAGTAGAGGCGTATATCCGTGTAGAGTTGCGAGATAAGTATCACCATTGTTGGTTAACAAACTGGCATGCGTATGCACCAGTGCACACAGACAGTTGGTATACAATAACTGCACGCTCTACTTTACACATAATGAACAGTCATTTTGTTTCCAGTATCAGCGGCTGGTGCTACTCTCTCAATACACAATTCTGGTTTGAGTGGACAACAGCGCCCTCATGGGTCGTGCATGGACCAGATAGATTACTTTTATGAATTCAGTCCCAGTTGAGTCTGAAGTTTCTCATATTCGGTGCCATATTTGAATGACACCTGTTGTGAGTCTTGGTCACAAGTTTTTCTTGCATTGATTGACTGATTTTGATTGGATTTTGATTTGTCTGTGATTTAGACTCTTGTACTCAGGGAGCCCTAAAGGTCTTGGTCCACGTCATCAGGTAGAGCTGACCTTTGGCACACGAACAGGAACTCGAAATGGAATTGAGGCACATCTCTTCAGGGTAGACACGAGAAGGGACCTAGGGGCCTGGACACGATATCTTGTTCAGGGATCCCACAATGCAGCTGTGCTGGTCAAAGAAATTGTTTGTCGTAAGTTAACAATCACTTCGTCATATTTTTTTTGGAGGGAGAGGAGAGGGATTAGCCAATTGGACGTGACAAATGGAGGCATGTAATTTAGGAATTGCTGGCCTACTGTAACTTTCAGACAGACTTATTTCCCTTTAAAAGTGTCCTTGTAATGCATTCAAAATTGAAATTTCAGGTCCTTTAATGTCAGCTTATTTAAGGTACAGCTTTGATGGACAATGAGTATGTGTAAGTTTCCAAAGTGAAACTTAAACACAGCATAAGATTTTTGACAGCAAAAGAATGTTTGTGAATAATACATCTTGATAAAAAGATGTACAAGATGGGATCTGAAACATGTTCTTTTTATTGTGTATGTGTATGAGTGAAGTAAAATTTGTCTGTTTAAAGTGTTGGGAAATAGATTTTGAATTGCTTGATTGTACTGAACTTTACAGTCCATTTTCAGTTATCCATTTGATTGAACGTGAGAATGTATCCTAGGTGCTGAATGCAGGCGTAATTCAAAGCACGACTCGGCAACTTTTGATCTGAAGTCCAAATCCTGGAATGTTGTTTTTTAGTCAGAATAGTTTTCAGCTGAAACTTCATCAGATTTGTTCTTTGGCACCCTTCTTAAGATTTCAGTAATTTTGTAGCTTCAAAGGAACATAAGGGAGCATTTCATAATTGTTGAAGGCGGTATTTACTGCGGTATCGCTGTTTTTTTAGTGGCACCGCACTAGTTACCTGAAAGGGCTTAATGATGGTACCGCAAAAATACAGTGGTACAGCAGTAAATACCCCCCTTTGTAATTATGAAACGTTCCCCAATGCACAAATGACAAACGATTGAATGTACCTTTGAAGTTAATCCAGAGTACGGCTAAATTGCTTCTTAAAATGCAGATGTCGTTAAAACTTTCTTCTTTTCCCCACAATTCATTAGCTGTCACATGGCAAGGCAAAGAGACCAAACTCACTATCCATTACGAGAATGGATTCACGCTTACTGCCAATCCTCAGGAGGGCCAGAACAATAGTAGTAAAACTGAGCTGTGCTGGTCCTACCCTTATGAGAAGCTCCGCTACTCGTCTGATGATGGCAAAAGACTTTTGTGGCTTGATTTTGGAGCAGGAGAGGGCGAATTTGTAAGTGCAGATGACTGTCAGCCAAAGTTGGAAGAAATATGTGGATTTTCTCCAAAATCCAGGAAAAAAAAGACTAAAAATGCTATTGATTTTAAAGTACGGAATTGACAAGCATTTCAAATTCAAATATTAAATGAAGTAGAGAAAGCTAAAGTGATGCACTTTTAATCAGTCATCTCAATTCAATTTGGTGTTCCAAGCTTGTACACAATGAAGTATAAATTAGTAGGTCATATTATGTGCAAGATTTGCCCAATCAGTTTGGCCATACATTGAATCTCACACACTGAAGCTGGCTAGGCATCGTTTGCTTTCATCCTGAATGACCTCATCTAATTGGAATACCAAATTCATTTCTTTTCAGTTAGGGCTCGTTATTTCAATTTACCAAATTCACCAGGAAAGAAAACTGGACTGAGGTTATTTTGCTGGTGTGTTTTAAGCAACATCAGTGTTTTAATTCAAGTATGACACAGCTGTAGCTCTCACAATTTCTGGGAGAAAATAAATGAACAGGTTCCATACTGTACATGTAAGGATAGCATCCTTGTATTGTACTTTACATTTTCTTATCCGTATTTTGATTTGTTACCTCTTCGTCTAGGAGTTAGACCTCCACACCTGTCCAAAGCCCATCGTCTTTATCCTACACACCTTCCTCAGTGCCAAAGTCACACGCATGGGACTCTTTGCATGATGTGCTACACACTGCATCCTGGGATACATGCCATGGTGTGGGAGCTTTGCACAGGATTGTGGGATGTATCTTTGAGGTCATGGGTCAATCACATAGGGTGCACAAATGGAGAAGGGATTTATGGGATAGCTGAAAGTGATGTTCATCATGAGATGTCTGGGAAGTCGCTCTTTTTGGGGTTTGCCTGTGCATCCTTGAATTCTGCAAAATACTTCACTCTGGGACTGTTGCACTGACTTCTGGAATATCTCCTGCTGACTCGGAGTTTTGTTGTGGCCTGTAACAAAAAGGATCCATCATATAAGATTGTTAGGGTTAGGAAAATACATTTCAAGTACATGCAAACACTTAGGTGTTCCATACAGTATGGTAGCTGTGTGGACTACACTTCTGAAAACCATGTTGTGGAGACCAAAAAGGTTAAAGGGACAATTTTTTGTCTCTACAACTCGATGTCAACTTTCTTAACACAAGAAATTGCCCCCTTAATTCTGTAATGACCTGGGTGAGGAGACTGTTACTGTGTGAATAGCTACTTTGTATTGGGAGAGTACCTGCTAGTGTTTACCTATTGTTCCTGCAGAGACCAGAATCAGTTGTATTTGAATAGTTGGATTCAGACCTTGTACAGCATTGTAGTAATCTGACTGACTTAGAAATCCGTGAGTGAAGGTTATTTTGGTCATCATTTACCAGGTTTATGTCAACTCAAATGTAAATGATGGAAAACAACTCTCAAATTTATACAAGAAAACTCAGCCATTTGCTAACGTGATTGTACCAAAAGAACTTTTTTTGTAAATTTTAGGTTTTTAAAAGAAAGATTGTGTGTTTACTGTGAGACATAACATTTAAGATTGCATGAGAATTGGTAAAGGTCAGGTCATACATCATGCATATAATAATGCACAGCAATTGGCAACCTGTTTCTCGAACAAAATTTGCAGTTCAATTCTCAGAGTTGGCTGAAATCTGCAGTTAAATTCTTTTGTGATCACAAAGTGGACAGAAGTGTGATGATATGACTTTGCCGTGGCCTTTTCTCTATGGAGGAATGCTTGCTGTCACTATGCCCTTTCTTCTGTGGTATAGCAAAACATGACTGTACCGTAAATTGTGATTAACGCAATTTGTTCATCACAAGTCATTCCTAAAGTCATCTAAGTCACAAACTATTCAATGAACTGATCTGTTGTCTCTGTTCACTCCTGTGATTGACTGGTCATTTTAACCACTTCCTGCCGGGGAGGCTGTTTGGCACCGTTTGTTTATACGCGTGGCCGGGGTCTCCAAAATTGGACAAAGGGAACTGGGCCTTGTAACAAAAGACCGTACTCGGAATAAAAGGCCAGGCTGCTGGACATTACCAACATTTTTTCACTCTCAATAGTGGAAATAATGCAGCCTTGTTTTGAAACAGTATCCACAGTTTGGGGCATTTAGTGCGAGCGGATTACCACCAGGGACAAAAGTGCTCCTCCAGTGATGAGCCACAAAGCACCACTGCACGCTAATCTGGCCCCTATTGAAAAGAGGTCAGCAGCGCACTGTGCCAGGTTCGTGAACAAAAGAAATTTACATAACACTGCACAATCTGGGCTCTTTTTGCAAGGCTGCAGGCCTGGGCCTCAATAGATTTGTCTGACAGACTAAAGTGGCCACCCGACAGTAGTTCGTGTGGGTGTAAATGCCCGTTAATTGAAATGAAGAATTTTTGAAGAATTTTGAAAACTGAAAATCTTGAAAAAGTCCGATTATGTGCACTGCATTTTTCAAACCACTCGGCAGCAGGTGGTTAACATTCATTTTTAAAAGACAGGGAGCATGTCAAACAAATACTAATTCTCTTTATGTAATAGGCTGGCAACCAGTAAGATTTAACCGTCCTGAATTGTCTACTTGTTGGAGGATTCTGGACTGTCTGAGTTATAAAGTAAACTGTCTGAGGTACTTCAGATTTGAACATTTCATGACCAGTTTAATTTATTGTCAAATTTGTCCCATATTTCTCTTTAATGTCAAGTATGAACTGGACTTAAACTATTAAATCATTGTCTTGCCATATTTTGATACTTTTTCCATAACTGCTTCATACTGTTGCTTAAATTCAATCCTTAAATTGAGATCATTGAATAGATTCCCTATTTAAATTTAGGAAAGATCTATGCAAATTAGGCATTGCTGAGTGTTATAAGTGGCTGTGCATGACTAATTTAAAAATAACTTTCCTTCTGATGACCTTGATTCCAAATAATCAATTTTGTCTCTATATCCCCAATTTGCCTCCCCCCCAAAAAAATAATGTCTGAAACAGATTTTGAACACAAAGTCTTGGTTGACCAAGTTCACCTTTTATTTCGAACTTGTGCGTGTTTAAATACTGAACACATTTACAAATGAACATGATATAAATTAGCACAAATGACCCCTCATTGGCTCAAAGTACAAAACATATTGAAATATTCCTCAGTAAGTGCATGCAGATGTCAAGTTGGCTCTAGGATCAGAATTTGATTGGAAAGTTATCCAAATCTTCTGCTACCTCACATGATAACTTTGCATTTTTAGTACATCCAATTTTTTGTTGTCTGTGTATTGCTATTCAGTCTGTAACATTGTCAGTATTGTAGATAGCATACATGCATTTGAGATGATGTGAGCTTTTCCAGGGGACCATTCAGAGTTTAGTACTTACTCTGTTTGATGAACAAGATTCTTGATTTAACAAACGTGATAGATCTTAAGTTGATGAAGATACCAACGAAAAAAGTGAATGGTCCACATGGCCCTTAGCAACCTCATTTAACATCTGGAATGGGTAAATAATTGAAAATAGTTTTGTATTTTGTTCAACTTGTACTTAACATTAAATGAGATCATTGTAATTACTGTTAATTTTAATTACTAATTTATATATTTACAAAATGTTCTTTTTTCAAGAATTTTGTCACATTCTTACGTAACAAATTGCAATTGTTTTCATTTTATTGAGATTTAAACACTGTTTTAAATCCACTTATATTGTATTATTTGTTGCTATGGTATTCTGTAATATTGTCATGAATGGTGAGCCTTACTGTGCTATCTATCAAACACTCTTGTGTTAATGGATGAAGGAAATAGAAGGAATTTGTATTTATTTATCGTATGAAAGTCATTACCAAGATTAAATATTGGGTCTACATACATGTAGCATGGTAAGGCTGACACTTTAGAGCCATGTAGAACCCAAGAGGGCGCTATATAGTTAAACCATGAAGGCAACCAAACAACATTTGGGCTGGTTCACAATAAATGCTCACATCTGTTTATTTGTGAACAGAAATGAAGTGCAACATTGTCTGAAATGGGCTCACGGAGCTATGGCTACATTCCCATGTATTAAATGGTGTAGACCTAGACTTAGCCCTAGACACAAGTTTAAAACATGGCTAGAAAAGGCGTCTAATCTTGTACATGTACCTGGTTTTTGTTACACTGTGACATTGAAGAGGGTTAGCAAGTAATTCAAAGAGCATCTATGACTCCAGTATAACTGATGTGGTGTTTAGATGATGTCTTACATTCTGAAGATTTTGGGAATACTTCTGTAAGAAATCAAAGAGTGTGACCCTCTCCAGCAGCTTGATGCATTTATTGTACACTCTACATACTTGGATTATCATAAAAGATTGTACACTAACCATGCTTGGCTGTTGCTGCTAGTTGACAAGGTGCCCTTGGTTAAACCATGGTCAAACTTGCTCAGATTGGATTGGGACATTGTGCCTCTCACAGGAAAAAAAGGTGTGAGACGGCAAATTTGATATGAAAATAGCCATTTCTGCTCTGAATAAATTACTTCACACCTTGATTTGTGATTAATTGCGCACCTCCATGCGTCGACACAGATATTTTGAAATTATTCTTAACTTTGACTTTCTCAGAGAACCCTTTACAAATGCATAGAAACCTAATAGAATTTGTCATTTTCCTCTTATTTTTTTTTCTTTTTAAATTGACAGCTCAATGGACCAGGATTGTTTTTCCACCCAAGACCTGTATCACCTGTCGGTGTTATATCATAACTGGATGACAGGTCTTAAATTCAGTGAATAAAGCAATGATTGCAGGGTTCCAGTCACAAAACAAATCTGATGAAACCTGTTGGTTGTGTTCTTAACATGAGTGGATAAAGCTCGTGATTTTTGTTGATACATGTAACTTGTGCAAACCTACAGTGTGCTTCTATAACCAGCTCTATTTTCTGTACATATATAAGAAGCATGCATTAAATTCTATTTATTAACATAGTCATTATTGATGTTATTTCATGTTTCAGTTCAACCAGCATTTTTCTTAATGTTTGCAATGTGGTTTAAACAATCTTTGAAAAGTGCAGTTATCGTATTGTATTCATGCTGTTTAATTCTCTTCACATTTCTTTCAACAATCCCTCAATATTTATAAACAGTTGGTAGATATTCACTGATAAAGCATTTACTTGAGCAGATCTATACAGTTATATTTTAACAAAACACTTGCTTAGGTGTATATCCACACAATGAAATAAAAATCTCAATTGTATTATATTACTATTGAATTGTAACTGCCCTGAAAATAACATATATTTTTACTGATCTTATAAAACCATTTTCAAATAAATGGGCAAATAGTATGTGTAGTAAACTGTAAATGTGTTCAGATTAAACTTGAAAATCCTTTCAGAAATGCCACAAAATAATGAAAACTTTATTTTCACCAACCTTAAAATGATAAAATGATGTTTGAAAAAAGAGGCACAGCTGGCAAGAAAAGGCTTGCAGCAGATGTAAATGTAGATTGTATAGAACAGTTTGAAATTGGTACTCGGGATAGCTCTTGGAAAGGGTTTGGTGTTTAGAGCCTGAACTTTTTCATTCTGTTTTTAGAAACACTTGTTTAATCATTTTGAACCAAAGCCCCACCCCCTATCAAAAGTCATCATAATGTTTGCATAATGAGATTTTGCAGCATCTGTTGCCTCAACTGGAAAAAATTGTCTCAGTTGAGAACTTGTCATCCAGAATTAGGGAGGGATGCATGTATGAAATTCAGCTGAAAGTAGGCTATGGGTTCCCTGTTTAGAACTGTCAAATACAGCGTTGTGCAAAGCAAAGGAATAAAAATAGGGGTTGGTAGCTCAGGTATGCATTGCGTTGGCTTGTTGCCAGTTGATGTTGGCTTAACACATACATTCACTCAGTAGCATTGTCAGCTACGCCAAATTGGATCAGATTTTTGTGACTTCTCAGAACATCTTGACAACGGAACCTTTTGCCTAGATTTGGCAGGTGTATTTGGTTGAAACATTTTTACAGTTTCTAACCAAATCAAAATGTTAAAGGGAACAAACCAATTGTAAATCATTCTCATTAATAAACTAATAATTATGTAAATATTTTTGTCATAAATGGACCCAGTATCTAATCTAGCATGTCAGTATTTTGTCTTTCTAAAGGCATATGTTTACTTACTACATATAACTGTGGAACATTTGATGTAACTCTCCACATTAAATGAAGATATATTCTAATTGACCAGAAGAATGGATAAACCAACATTTCTTTGAATATCAAGAATGTGTAAAATGCGTTTTGGCTGGAGATGCCATAAAATCGAATTTATTCTTTGAGAAATTCTGAAACATCACTCTTTGCCCAACACTGCATAGGCCATAGTATCATTACCCCGAGGCTGTCAGAGTTGTAGCAGAGTTAAATATTTTTAACACCCATAATTTCAAATGTATCTGTCTACTTTCATTGGTTTGCATGCTGCTTTTTAAAATCTAATTAATAGCTGATTTTAATTTCTGTTTGTTAGGTGGTATCATTTATTAATTTGATGTGCAAGTTACTTATCCACATTTTAAGGTTTAAAATTAAAATGTTTATTGGTTGATGACAAACACAATGGTGTATATGCTTTGCATTTTGTGTCTTTTATCAAAAGTGCTAGTGGGATAATCAGTTATGGACCATGTTTAAGTGTGCTTGTACCAAGACCCCCCCACCCCCATGAGTCCCTTCCTCATTTGCGGGGTGTTTGTGATGAGAACCGAGCAGATCTTATCTGTAAAATCTGGTACAGTTTGGATAACAAGTTTTCGTGAGGGGAAACAGCTCGCCTGCGTGTAGCTAATGAATGCCTATCAAGTCACTATGAAAAATTACCCATTATGCGGCAAGTTTCCAGCGCTTTCTTCATGAACGCGGCCTGTATTGTGGGCGTGGTATGTTGATCTTGATTATGAAATCGTGTAAACAACAGCACGTGGTATACCACGTGCCTCATATATTATGCGGCTTCTTCAACCTTGACCGTCTTCTTAGCTTTGGTGCGCTTCAATCAGTCTGGTCCCTAGACTAGGACTGCACAGTTACGATCTGTACACGTTATTTAGGCCATGGCCTGTCTCCACTATCTGTTTTGCAACCACTAATTTCTGACAAATCATACCAAGTCATCGTTGCAGGTAACAAGACTTCTGACTGGTACATGAAGTATTGAAGTAAAAAATAAATACCTCTACCTAGGAACTAGGAAGACGTCTGCAAGTAGGAAAAGCAAAATATTAATGGCAAGTATTTCCTTCCCAGAGGCCTAATCAGGCCCATCCGTATGCATTTAAAAAGGGTTCATCAGGCCTATTGTCTATTGAGTTGTGTTGTACAAACTTTGCCATTGTTAGCGTGATAAGATCATAGGTAAGGTTTCCCAGTTTCTTTTCAACATGTTCAAGTTCAAGACAAAAAGCAAAAGAAATGGTCATGCAGCTTGGTATGTGAACACTTTTGTAATACATTGTGTGTATTATTAGGATTAAAAGGTACCAATTCCATGTTAGCCTACAGTACTACTACCATGGAGCATGGCCTCCATCATGTCCATAGAGGTAGGAAAATGTATTCATTTTTGACATTTGTTTTAAGACACGGCTAATAAACATGCACTGTGGAGTGTTATTAAGGACAATCTTCAACTATGTGAAAATTTGTTGTACTCATCCTGAGTTGGTAATTTTAATTCATCTGAATGGATGTTATTCAAAGGCAAATCAACTCAGGATGGAATACAATGAACTTGTTCAAGGTTCAAGATTGTGCTTAACTTTTCCATTCAACACCACTCCTCATTTTTTTTCACATGAGTTTGCATACATATCAATAGGCCTACCTATGTTCTGTTGTAAATGATCCAATTTCAAACCCTTTTTGTGTGTTGGCAGCAGCAGAAGAGTATTTAGTATTCAAAAACATATGTACATGTGCATCCAAAAAGATTTTACTTTTAATACCCCTACCAACATGACCAAGATCAGTTTGGACCAGCAAAATTTTTCACTTGTGTTCGGAACTGTGTAAATGCTTTGACTCACCTTCAGTGTTAAGACTTTGATTAGGAAGTCTTCATGCACTACTGGGGAGAAAAGATCCGGTTTTCTGTTTTAGATGTTCTTAGCACTGTATGGTGACTGACAGTGTGCACAGGTAGGCCTACATGTGTACTTTTTGTCCAATTGTTCATGCGTTTTACTGAAATAAATCTGGAAAACAGGAAATGACAGATTGTGCCCAGTATTTCTGTAATTCTGAACACAACTGGATAGTTACTTTCGGAGATTTTGGTGTTCCTGACCAAGCTACATGTACTGCTTTTGATAATTTTTGTATTCAACTCATACCTGTGTCTCTCAAGTTCCACGTAAAGAAACATTTTGACATTATTACCTAATCTGAAAACTGTTCTTGCATTATGCTCCACAAAATGTCCTAAATTTACTCACAAAATGACAAATATTTCCTACTCTGGAAGCTTCCCAAACCCTCCCCCGTTTGGTTGCTCTGTCTGCACCCTAGCATCTTTCCCTTCAAATTGTTGAAGAATCTTCATTGTTTGGCAAGTATGCTGAGGTCTTGTGTGAAATGGGCTTCAGAGCTACAGCTCTGGCTTTTGTGAGTGTGTCTTTGTGCACTTGCTATGGGTAAAAGGTCTAGACCTCGTTAGATGTAGATGTAGGCTGTCAATTTGCTGACAGTCTCAACACTCCCCCATCACCTTTCTATCAAACACCTTTGTTTTACAAAGAATTTGAATTTAAGATTTTAACATTTTGTCACATAGGAGGCCTTAAGTCTTTAAAAATAACTGAATTCCGTAGGTTGAAGCACCTGTACATCTTGTAAAGAAATGAAAACTAAATGTGACTTGTAACAAGGCTAAGCTCATAATGCGATGTGCACACTGAATCTGGTAGCATGTCTCCAAGTTTAAGGAAATTTGTCTCTCCAAGGTTTGTAAACAGTTATAAAAATTAAATGCATAAAATTGAAGCTGTCCTGTTGCTACATGTATGTGTAACCATAGACCGGGAGGAGAAAAATACAGTGGACTGCCAACTCCTGCGGGCGCCCCGTGCATTGCATGTATACATGTTCCGTTGGCCGGAGTTGCTGGCACAGGAAACTTCTGGTTGACCTTTCAATAGGTGTTAACATGCAGTTAACGATTGCAACTGTCACGTGTCGCTGCGCTCTTAATTTTGCCTTGGAATTCTTTATTTTTCATGTTTTTTGTGGATAAAATAGCAAAATGGGCATGAATGGATGAGAAAGACAGCTTACAAGTGTGTAATGATATTGGTATAGCATAAAATCTCAACTCCCTATTTGTGTCTTTAGGCGCTGCTTCCAGCAACTGCACAATTATTTCCTGGAATTTATGCCATTTTGAGTATTTTTGTGTTACGCCTTGTGCTGCATGCACAATTTAACATCTGGAAAACAGCAAAACAGAAGTTGTCTGTGCCAGTAACTTCGGCACTTCCCAGTTGATGCAAGATCGACGTGCGCCCACTGGAATTGGCAGTCCATTGTATATTTCTCCTCCAGGTTTATGGTGTAACTGTAACCAGGCAAATGTCACAGCGACTGTGAGCTTGCTTATTACAAGATAGGCCCACAGGGTTCATTCTACAATTCAATGGTATTTTTCACTCTGGAAAAGTACTTTGTGTGATGATTGGCCTGTATGAGAAACTTTTTAAAACTTAACCCATAAAATAAGCCAGTTCAGTCTTTCAAAAGGCCAAGGTCTTTCAGAAACAAAGCATGTGCTTGAGTCAGCGTATGGCTGTGCTGATAGGACACACTATCGCACGTACACATGTGACTGTTCCCAAATAGCTTCATGCTGGGCATGTGCTGTTGGAATACTGAACTAGCTCATTTTTTTCTATTTTCAATTGATAATTTGTGAGATATAGGTCAAAGAAAGGTTGGTTAAGATAACCTCCAAAATATAAACACTTGAATTTTAAAAAGTACAGCCCCTAAAAAGCCAAGTGGTACATGCATGTCATATCCAAGCTATTAGATTAGCCTTCATTTCAGTATACAAATAATAAATGTTTATGAGTGCAATTGTATGAATACCAGTAATTGCATGAGGTGACTGATGAAACGGTCTATTCAATGAGGAGAAGCCGACTTGAGTAGACCGTTTTATGTGTCGCCTTATGCAATTATCATTACCATCGTATGAATACAAAACAGTTCATTATTTCTTTTATACAACACCTGTATAAATCCTCCTCATCTGATTTGCTGAGTACAGCTGGATCAATTACATTTAACTGAGTCCAACTGGAAGATGTCCAGTTAAGAATCTGTTAAGTTTTCAACATGATGTTCTAAGCTCGTGTAATCATTTGGCAGCATTTTATCTGTTTCCTTATGTTGGCAGTATCAGCATTACTTACAAAAACAAGTTCTTATAATTATTTTGTAGAATTGTAAATGGCGGAGCTTTATCGCTCGTCAATTTGCCATAAAAGTAACTTGCGCAACTAGAAGCTGCAATGCAATCTATCCAGAGGTTTTTATTATTCGTTTCTAACTCATACATGTAGTTATAAATTTGTTGCACACTGCGTGCATTATGTGCCATCTGATCAACAATCCACCAATCAGATGACAGGGATTTTTGCAGGTGTTGTACAAAAATAATGTCACCCAAATCATACCAGTAGCAAAAGTGTAGAGAAAAGGCATAGCAAAATGCCTCAACAATCCTTGGATACATGTATATTGGATTTGTCAGGTTTTTTCTATCTTGATTTGTTATTGGTGTTTATACTTTGTAAGATATCCTTGGAGAGATTGTCAAATAAAACAAATACAAAAAGTACTAATAGTAGAAATTACATTTCCAATAATGCCAAATATTTCATGTACACAATAAGTTACTGGTAGTTTATATGAATTAATGTTACACAAGTACATGTATAAAGGAACCAGCAGGACAAACAACATAAGACTGGTAACATGTCCATAATGCTACACATTTACTAGTACATGGAACGTGGAACGGTGCCAATCACAAACATACCATAGACACTACATAATACAACCCCACCTAGCTCATGTTCATTTTCATAGTACTTTACTTACGACCTCTGGGGTTGAGGTTTTACGCATAGTTCAATCATGTCCATGACTGAGTACAGTCCAGAAGGAAATATCAACCAAATAAACCAGATTACACCAGCTTCTGGGAAATTAAACCAGGAAATTATTCATTCTTACGTGTACTGAGCTGTCTGCAATCAAGTCAGCAAAACAGAAAACAGGTACTGTACATGTAAATTTATCTCTTTGCCTTCATACAAATTGCATGAATAGTTTACATGGTACAGGTGCGTATGGTGTAGGGCCTATAGGTTTATATGTTTACAATGAAATTTTGTCCCATTGTTTGTGCAAAGTGCATGTTGGCATAGCAGAAAGCCACCAATGCTGTACATGTATGTATGTGGATCAAGGTCAGGTACGGTACTGTTCATGCACATATCCACAGTGTGCATGTACCAAATTGGTCTGTCCAAAATAAAATGCTGGCTCTATACACAATTTAGTGTGGAACAAATAAACTGGTATTGTACGTGGGTAGTGCTTTTGTCTGCTCACACTCTGTACTCTTCAACCATGTCGACAGACATGCACATGTACATGTCACAGGCTATCAGCATGGATACACACAATATGAATATGAGCATGTACTGTACCATTTGATGACAAGCAGAGTGCATGTTTTTGCCTCTTCTGTCGCCAAGACTTAAAACTGATGGAGGTTTTATAAAGTTGATGTTCTGTAGAGAATTGAAGTTTTTGAAATCAAGTCTGTCTTTTGTTGTGGTTTTCTGATTGTCAATACACCAATGACAGGATGAAGTTCATGTTGCTGAAGAGAAAGAGAGACATGTTCAACTAAACCAAGTTTTTTGAGTTTGATTTGAATTTTTGATTTAAATTCCATTCTACAGATCGAACAGATTAATGTAACCAACAAGCCAGAATGGTGTCCATATACACATACTCATATGTTATTGATGAGTACAACCTGGCAATCTGTGCCATCGTTACCGTGGTGATGCAGACCATATTTTTCATCATCGCAGCAACGTGCAAATTTGACAAAGTCACCGATTTTGCAGGCGGAAGTAACTTCGTAGTCCTGGCATTGCTTACTTTTTTCATTTCACAGGTGAGTTGATTTGTAGGCCATGTGCCATCACCACCAAATATCATAGGGAGAAAAGTCAATGTAGAAAGTTGAAACACTGCTACATCTATTTTCTTTACTTCAAAAAGCAGCCCATAGGAAGAATTGAAAACATACTTACCCACATGTAACAAAGACACAAACAAAACAGTTTGCCTAGCCTTGAAGACACAATGGAGCTAAGCATGTTAACATGTTGTTGCTTTAAGTTCCTGTATTGCATGTCCACCAGATATTTGACGGTTTTCAAACTTGACATGATGAGAGTAAATACATGTACCAGCATGTGGTCAGAAATGTTGAGTTCCTTCTCAAGTCTCTTCAGAACTTCGCAAACTCATCCCGATTACATGATCTACATGGACATATTCTGTAAGTGTCCAAATTCGCAAGAAAAACAGGATTTGAGACACATACTGTTCAAGCAAATGGGATTGACAGATTTTGCTATTTTGACCTACAATTCAACACCTGCATGTCACTCTCTTACATACACATAACCCATATTTCCTGCATCCATTAACATTTTAGTCTTTAGCATTGCATTTTCATAACCACCATCTATCCCTCATCCCAGACCTATACAGCCAGGCAGATTGCTGTGACCATCTTGGTTTGCCTCTGGGGTATTCGTTTATCTGGTTATCTTCTGTATCGCATCGTCAAAATTGGTGAGGATAAACGCTTTGATGATATCCGAGGAAACATCCTGAAATTTGCTGGCTTCTGGTTTTTCCAGGTGAGAAAGAACATACTAGTTGGAATGTTATTGCCATTCTGTTTGAAATTGGAATGAACAATGTGAATTGATTGGTATAACCACTTGCCACCGGGGTCCCCGGTACCAGACATGGATGCTTTATACGCGTGGCCGGAGTCTCTGAAATCATAGGGAACTGGGCCTTGTAACAAAAGACCGTACTCGGAACAAAAGACCAGGCTGCTGGGCATTACCGACATTTATTCACTCTCAATAGTGGAGATAATCCAGCCATGTTTTGAAACAGTATACCACGGTTTTGGTGATTTAGCACGAGCGGATTACCGCTCGGACAAAAGCGCTCCACCACCGCAGGGATGAGCCACACATACCCCTGCACGCTAATCTGGCCCCTATTCAAGTTGAAAAGAGGTCAGCAGTGCACTATGCCAGGTTCGTCAACAAAAGAAAGTTACATAACACCATACAATCTTGGCTCTTTTTACAAGGCTGCAGGCCTGGCTAAACTATTCGGGCGTCAGTATATTTTGTCTGTCAGGTTAGAGTAGCCACCAGACAGTCATTCGTGTGGGTGTAAACGTCCATTAACTGAAATGATGAATTTTTGAAGAATTTTTAAACTGAAAATCTTGAAAATGTCCCGTTTGTGTGCACTGGATTTTTTAAACCACTCGGCAGCAAGTGGATGATAATTTTAGTCAATATAAAAATCCCAGTCCTTGTCATTTTACATGGGCATTATTTGTTGCAAAGTTAAATGTGTGGTGCATGTTTGTGCTTTGGTAATTTAAATGAATTGTTTGATTTGGGATTCATGAATGTTTAGAGAAATCTGTATCAAAAGTCTATCAGTAACTAAATATCTAGAATGATCAGTTGAGTGGGTGTGCTAAGACAGGCAAGGAAACACTCGACTGTGTTTCTGTCAACTACCTCTTATTACCCCAGTTCAAATACAGATTGGTTGTCACAGTTTAAGCCCCAACTTGCAGAGTAACAAATGTAGCAAGGTTTGTTTAAATATTGAGAACGCTCTGCATCATGTGGAGTGAAAATGGCTAGGTATTGAATCCAGAACATATCAACAGCATCCAAGCCAGAAAGAAGTAGTAATGAGTAAGACATACGTTAAGAATACATCATTGGAATTATGGTCTTTACATCTGTGAGTTTTCATTGTTTACACAGGCATTGTGGGTCTTCTCCGTTAGTCTGCCTGTTATCTTCATAAATGCAGTCAAAACAGCATTTCGCAGTGAATTGGGAGCTCTTGACATCATTGGTATCATCTTCTTTGTCTTCGGGCTGGTCATTGAAACAGTAGCTGACCAGCAGAAGTTTAACTTCCGAAACAAGGCAGAGAATAAGGGCAAATGGTGCAACGTTGGTAAGAAATGATAGCAGAGGTTGACTGGAAAGGGACGCAAAAACTCAAAGTCTTAGGATGGTCATGCCATGTGGAACTTGTAGCTTCAAAAGAGGGAAAAAATTCCAAAAACCCACTGAAACAATTTCAGTAACAAATCCATCAGGTAGAATTACTGCAGCACACAGCATTCACAATTGGGACTCTGTTTATGCAATTCTTGATAATAATTTCATTCCGTAATACGTATTTCTGTCATTAGACAGACAGAGGCTTTCCACATACGATCCTTTAATTCCTCCTTATTTTTGCTGGCAGTCAAAGAAAATTCTATCATGGTTGCTCTGAGATAGATAGTTGGAGTTTTAAACTTTGATGCAAGAATGAACAAGATTACCTGGAGTATTATTCATGGTCATTTGGGTTCGTTACTTTCATGGCAGGCTTGTGGTATTGGTCTCGTCATCCTAACTACCTGGGTGAGATCATCTTATGGCTGGGTATATTCCTCATGAGTTGTGGTGTCGTCATGCATTGTGAGTGGGTGGTTGTCATTAGTCCAATCTTCATCATCTGTATCTTGCTGTTTGTCAGTGGTGTGCCTATGTTGGAGCAGAAATCTGATGATCGCTACGGGAGGTGAGTCCTAACAGTTCATTCTACACTCTTCCAGTCCACCATTGCCGCCCCTTCCTTCTCCCTTTCCCCAAGTGTCAACAGGTATTGTCATGATAATTTCAACTATAGACTAGCTAGCATTCTTTCTGTTTCCTATGAGCATTACACAGGATAATATCAACTCAAACACTACTGATCTTGGAAGGGACAAGTTGCCTTTTTATCTTATTTTTCCGTATTATTGTTGATTTGTATTATTTCTCCAGCCCAGTTACTCCTATTTCTATTTCTGGAATGTTTAATTGAACTTTTGTAAACATTTCTAGACTTTTTGAACAGTTTTGGATTTAAGCGTTTTGGATTTTGAATTTTGTCTTCTTTGCATGTTGATAAGTGCAAGATACCACAGTGGGGAATTTCTGTTACATGTTATTGAAATAAAAAGAGCATTGAATCAGTTGAAGCAGTTGAATTAATTCAGTTTTAGGTGCTCGGATACAAATTTCAAATGTTGTTAAATTTTGCTGGATTTTGTCAGGTACTTGCCAAATACTGAACAAGGTTGAGAATAAAGGAAAGCTTGGGGGAACTTGTTTTCATGAAACATTCTTTACAGAATATCAACCTCATTTAAGAGTTCCTGTAAGGGCACCTTTAATCAATCAAGTATTTCTCTTTGCGAATCCAGTCGGGCAGATTACAAGGAATACAAGAAGCAGACCAGTCCCATCATCTTCTTTCCAACCAGTCTGTACCGATCACTCCCGTCTATTGTCAAGTGCCTGTTTCTTTGTGAGTTTCCATTTTACAACAGCAAGCTTAATGAAGACCAAATAAAGGAAAGTGAAGCCACTGAAGGAACACATATCGTCAGGAGATAAGTCTTGTTCAAAGACCTCGCTAAACTCATTTGACTGCTACCGCAATGATCACCCCTAAACAGTTGATAAATCCATTGCCATTTTGGAAATTGAATGCCAACACACCATTGGAAAAAGAGTAATTTGGAGGACCCAGAAATACAAGCTGTCAATCCTGTAAGAGAATCCACTAATAGCAGAATTTCATAGCACGCAGGTAGTGATTTGGTCAGTACATGTAGCTTTGAGCCTATTTGCTTCACAAATGTGACATGGTTTGTGCATAAGCTTACTTCCATTCCAAGTTTATATATTTTGCAGTGTACGCATGGTTATGTTGGTGTGTATATGTACATGTGCCTGTTCATTAAGTACATGTACCTTAATTCTTAGGTGGCTTTTTTATGCAAATCTGTACAAACTTCACAAAGAAGCATTTGCTTTCCTTGCTTTTCAGATAGTCATTCATGAGATGTGAATTCTATTAATGCAGTATTTAAAATTCTGCAACCGTTATCTGCATCGTTGTTATCGGTTTTAAGGCTGTTTATCCGTTCTATTCTGAGTTGGGCTGCTTTCTCCCTATGACTTTCACTTGGTCTTGTCCATGGCATTCCCTCACGTTGACTCCAAGCAATCATGATATTGTAACACTGACATGTCTACCATCGATGCATGTTGTCCAGTTCAACTCTTATGTTTGGTACATGTATTGATGAGCTATGGTCAGTTCCACAGAATATCCTAAGAACTTTACTTTTGACTTAGTAAAAACAAGGACCAATTTAATAGACCTGCCAAACACAGAATTCTGCTAAACATATAACTTGGTTGCTTAGAAAACAAGTCACCAATCAATATGTCATACACTGCATATTTCTTGAAGCTGGTTCCCAGCTGACATTTGCTAAGCACATGAGCAATTTAATAGGCAGTATTTTCTGCTGAGCAGCTCTATTGAATTAGGCCTTGTCTGCTAACGAAAAGTTAGCTGGTAAATTGATTTACACTGCTGTTGACTTGTTTTTTACTTGACACAAAAACGAGCTGAGCAGTGACTTGTCATTAAGCATTTTCTTAAAACTGAGCCATTGTGTTTAATACTGTATTTATTCCATTTTTGTACAGAAGGTCATTGTATCAAGTCAGCACATGAAAATAGGCTAGAGTGATGTCCCTGTAAAAAGAGTCACTAGCCTCTTGGGTGATAGTTGGTCAAAGATTGTTGGGATGTCCAAGAAAAATGATGATTTCTTTCTGAATAACCCTTACTGCCACCGTATAGATGTGTTGTTACATAAACACATACATGTACTGAAAAGCGAGTTTTGGTATTGATTGCTTCAGCAACTTTTAAAAAATGTTTGATACGGTGAAACAGCGTTATAGCAAGGTCCTTCAAGCAGGTACCTTGTATTATCAGAGATAAAGAAAAAGATTTAGGACCTAACATTTGTCCTTGTAAACATGATTTTGTATTATCAGAGCTGCTCTGTGTGTTTGACTGTATATGTTTGAATTCCTAGTGTGATATCAACAAACATGAGATGACAGTTTTGGGGATTTGAATCATACTTTACTCATTTTTTTTACAGCTTCAGCCAAAAAAGGAGAAATGGAATACTGAATTGTTTTTAAAGCAAGTCTTGATACAGTTACACGTACATAGAGTATATTAGCCATATTGTGAACAAAGTTGGTTTCAAAATTGGATTCAAAGGGTCCTTGTTCTTTGCAGCAGGTGTTGCATGGGGTTTAGGCAATAGGCTTTTTGCAATGTTTGTATACTATTTAGCAGAAATGTACCTATTTGTATCTTTAACACATGTATGCCAAAATAAAAGCAAATGTCAAATGCATTTGAATCCAACCCAACTGCCTATAAAGTCTCTTCTCTGAGTGATTATACAGAGTACGTTTATATTCCTGGTCCTATTTTTACCAAAAATAGTTTGGATCCATTGATAAATTGGTAAACAGACGATTTTCATTTTTGTACTTTTTTAATTACATGTAGGTGTGAGTAGCCATTTAAAATTAAAGCTGAAAACAGCTAGCAAAAAGTTGAAATGTAAAGAGTGCCCGGAATTTTGTACAGACCAGGTGTACAAAAAGCTGAAAATCAGGGCCAACATATAAGCAAAAAAAGCTGAAAATCAGGGCCAACATATAAGCAAAAAAAGCTGAATTCTCACTCCCCTGTTTAACTCTGGTGTTTCAAAATGTAAGGTTGTTGATAGCTCCAGTGCAATGTGAAAATGACGTAGAATTCAGAAACTTTAGGACTTTGGGGTTAACCATGACATGCCAATTTTTCAGTAAGTTTTTGAATTAAAAAAATTGCAATTTTAAATTTCTCGAACACCTCTTCTCAGGCAAAATAAAAATTTCAACCCTTGCTTTTGGAGAAGTGTTTGATGAAAAGATAATCCCTTGAAAAAGCAACTGGGGTTAAATTTCTAGGAAAAAATCGAAAGCCAATAATGAAAGACCAAATCTCATTCCTTTTATCTTGGATGTTAATTCGCTCTTTAATTCTATACATCTTGGCAGTTCAAGCATTGGGCTTCACTTTTTTGTACAATAAATTTTTTGATCACACCACCTGACAACAGTACATTTTTGGGTGAATTTCAACGATGAAACATCCAGATTGTGTGCAACAGATTCTATCCATCCAATGTTTTCATTTCTGTTTTTCCCCACTCAGTTTTGCGATAACCAATAACACAACAAAAACCAATTGCAATAAGAACAATGGATCACAGAGATAGAGCAATATCCTGACAAATAAATGTACTGTAAGGAAACCAAAATGCAACCATCTAAACAGTAAATAAGTATAATTGCACACGGGAAAAGAAATGTAACACAAGCACTAACTCTGTCCAATACATGTCGTGGTGAAGGAAATGCACTCATGTATTAACCAAAGGCACAACTGAAGTTTCTGTTATTATCTGCAAATTTTCAACGAGAACTTTTCTTCAATCGCTGTGGGGAGCATTCATAATTTTGTTAAAACATTCGTATTTCTCATTTGATATATGAAAGGGAATGGCTTGACATGTAAGTAATTGCATGCATAAAACAAAATATTGTTGATTCGTTAGCAGCCACAAGTGAATATTTGAATATGACACCACACAGGAATACGGTTGGCCATTTAGTCAAGGCAGGTGTGGCACCCTGAATGCTCAGCTGGTACTACCAACAAGATCAGTATGACTGGTGAAGCCATAAATGCCTTTACTATCTTGTGGGGCTAATTAGTATTTATTCATTCAAGGTATATGCACTGCAGCATGCGAGGTGATTACAAACAATTCAAACGCCGTCTCTTCACTGTATTTCAGGGCCCACCACTGTTCCATGACGATTGGCTATCAGCATTCCGTGCATGCATTGGAGTGTTGACCCAATGATCCAATGAAAGATATTGATCAAAGTTCCCCAGTGCCTTCCCTGTGAGCATGTGACGTCAAATAGTTTAAGCGGATGTAATTCTTACTGGCCAATATCCAAAACAGGCAATGCATGATGCATGAGAATTTCTCTACCAAACAGAGAAATGTAAAGAAAAACACAAGCCTTCTCCACGAGATAGTAAAGGCATTCATGGCTTTGCCACTCCCATTGGTCGTTTTCATGTTGCCACTGTACTGGCATCCGGGTGCCACGAGCGCCTCGACTGAAGGCTGTAAAACAGTAGATGTTAAGTCAACTCAACACTTTCAAACTCTTAACAACACACACAAAGACATCACCAATAAACCAAATCACATCACATACCACTTAATTAGGCTTTTTAATAGAAGCTGAATCACTAGCTATGGGGGGCAAGGTCCCAACTTTTGACATCAAGTAATTGAAGACCTTAATTCGTTCATTTTACCGATATCGGATTCAGGATTTCACAGGGGTCTCATTATATAATTTTTCTTAACATTGCCCAAGGAAAAAAGAGACATCTTTATATTCTTTGAATAAAACAGGCAGTCTCTATACCAAGTAAGTACATGACAACTTGCATCCTTTGTTCCCAAAACAGTAATACTAGATATCAAACAGTGAGTCCAAAAGAATGGTGGTCAACTGTCCAAAACTTCACTACCTCCAGCCTTTTTGACATTGAGTGGTTGTCTAAAATATAACATGTAATCATTTCATGCAACAAAACAGGTGGTTCCCAAAGAGTCTGGGAAAGTAATTGTTCTAGGGAAGAGGGATATGTGTAAAAGAATCCTAAGCAATTTGATTGCCGCAGCTTTCACCAGATTATCTTACTGTGCTAGTTGACAGGACTTAGTCTTATTTTAGTGAGCCTTGTACAGAAATTGTGTTGACTACAACAGTATCTACAGTGGAACAAGAAACCAATGGACTGTCTGGTCTTAAAAATAACTAGCCAATTTAGCCAAATTGGAACAGACTAGTTACCATATAACTAGTTACTCAACCTAATCCTGATATTTTCAAAATGGTCGTTTGTTAAATTCTATAAACCAACTGGCCACGTCTGTTTCATTAAAAGCAGTTTAACACCAAACTGTGACAACATCAAACCAAAAAAGATAGCAAAATGAAAAACAAATCTTTGCCAGAAAAGGATCCTCATATTCAACAAAAGCTTTCAGTTATGTCAAAAACACAAATTGCAACTCTTGAATAGATTCTTTCCCTATTCAAAAAGCTACTGAAGCTTCTGGTCAACAATATTAGAATGCAACCATCAAACTTGATTCAGTCACTTTAAAAAGTGAGCAAAAGCAACCTGGGACACTTCTGTCCGTTGCTCACTTTCCCCATTAATTTGAAACAAATCTTCATCAGAAACAGATTCTTGATTTGTAAAAAAAAATCAATCAATTTGTGTTAAAGAGTAACTCTCTATACATGTGTGAATTTTTCAATATGTAATTACAGACACAGGTTTGATATATACATGTATATATATGTATACTTTATGTACATTGTATGACTCTGATAAAAACAACTTTTTATCAATATTTTCTTCCAATAGCTGTTTTTTTCCTCATCCCTTCAGACAAAAAAAAAATCAATAAACTACACCAAAAGACATCTACATGTCCACCACAAAAGTATCACTTTTTAAGGAAACTTGCTAATAGTTAGGTTCTCCTTAAGCTGCTTTTCCTTAAGTCTTGTCCCCAACACCACAACTCTTCCAAATCTTTTTAAATTTGATGAACCCCACAAACTGGTAAAATCTCCTAGTCTGACAACTGGTCAATCTTGGTCATATTCTCAGAATCTTCAGTATATGTTTGACCGTACAACAATTCTCCTTTAACTTTCAACGAGCCCACGTCCATCTCAAAACAACCAGTATCTTAGGCTATTGTGCCTACTGTGTCCACATGAGCCAAGATTCCTTGAAGGACTCTGTAGTGACTACTCATCCACTGCAAGGTCTCCTCCTCCTTGTTACTGACTCCGCCCATTCCCATCCCAAACCTTGGCCTGGAGTCACCAGCAGTCACTAGACACAAGAAATGATACAACCGTTCCTACAGCACACTCCTGATATCTTCAAATGGCTTCCAGAACCCATCCCATCTTCACCGTTATGCTGGGAGTAGATCTAAGTCTCTGTCGACCTCCACCATGGGTACATGACAGGAGGGTACCTGAGGAGGGTTCTTAGGATCCCAAAGTTTTAACTCTTGTAGCTTCAGTTCCCATTCCAGTTTTTGAATGGCATAGAGTGATGCTGCCTCGTGTTGATGCCGCTGAAGAAGATCCTCCTAAAAGTAGACACAGATAAAAGATCAAAATAACAACCAAGCTCAAAGCTCCTCAACCAATCAACGCAAACCTGTGCTCAAACTACTTCCAAATCTTGAGCAGAAACTGGAAACATATTAAAACATTCCTGCTTAGAGGACTCCAATCAAGCAGAAAAGCATAAAATACTGCATGACAAATTTCTTTGCTAACCAAGATATCAGACAGGAATCAGTTCCGAACAGTACATTCCATTGCATTTTTTGGTTAACATGTCTTGGCAAGCAAATTTTCTTTGTACTGAACAATTTCAAAATCTTACCCTTGAATGGTACAAAGCACCTTCATCTAACAATCATTTCTGCAAACAAGAGCCAATAGAATCTCCACTGTAATCCAATAGTAAACCCACCTTAATCTTCTCATACTTGTCATCGACATCCTGTAGCCAAGACAGTAACTGTCTTCCATTGTAACGCTGTCGAATGCTTCCTTTGTTATCTTCATGCGGCTGCAATCAGGATAAAGTAACAGTGGGAAGTAAGTTTTAATTCATTTAGAGTGCACACGATAAAACGCTAAGAAGCAGCCCCAGTGAGCTACATGTAAGTCCTAGCTTTAGGAAAAGCATACATCGTGTCTAGTCAAGAAAGGATGTGCAAGCCTAAGATTCAGAACAGGTCTACATTATTTACAAATTATACCATTCCAACTAATGTAAACCCTTCAAACCAAACTGAAACCCTATTTTGTTTTTTAAATAAATGTGATCCCTGATTTTACAAAGGAACTTAACACAATTATGCAAGAGGGTAATGACTACCTTCTCCAGCCACAATATTCCAGTTAACATGGTTTTTCATTGGCTCATCTACTAAATAATAATCCAAGACTGTCAAGTTTGACTAAGACTTACCACAGGATCAGGCATGTTGTAAACTTCCTGGTTCTTCAAGACAGTACAGACGCTAAATGGAGTGCTCTGATTGGCTGAAGCTCTCGCTGCTCGGGCATATACTCTTATAATGTCCTGTTCAGCGGCTAACATTAACTTCTCCTATCAGTAAAATAGGAGGTAAACATGTCAGCACTTATGTACCATACAAACAGATATATTCCTGTAACTCTAGCCCCTTGATGTTTTACGAAGGCCCATCAAACAGAATCAAACAATCATAACATATGGTTCCTGCTGAATCCTACAGAATCTCAATATTTCAATGAAGTCTACTGCTGCTCTCTTCAGCAAATCCAACAGGAAAATAATGAAAGCAACTAGCCTTGGACTTTGTTAGGTTCAAAGTTATTTTGAGTCTTTATTTCTTGCCAAAAAAATACAAATCAACTGGTGAACGAAACCCCCAGGTTAATTTAACTGTGTGAGAGTTTCTTGCATGATTTCAAATTTGGGGTTAGGTCTATCCACTCACCCTTTCAATGCAATGCCGACATCTTAAATCATGTCTCTTTTTCTCCTGCTCAATAAACTGTTTGACAGAGTCACTATGAAGCTCAGGTGGTGCCTCCATCTGCAAAAACAGACATCATGAGTTTTAAAAAGCAACTCAATGATCTAATAATCATGAGTTTTAAAAAGCAACTCAATGATCTCAACGCAAAGGCTGATTTCTATACAAGAATTTGGATATAAATGCTGACATTTTTAAAAGTTAGAGTGCTTATCGTGAAAGCTGAAGACAACTTAGTATGTCTAGATGCATTAGGTAGAGCCAATGATATGCCGTTTCAAAAATGGGTATTTTCCGTTTTGCCAAATCCCGAATTTCGCTTCAGAAATTCAAATTCCGTTTCATACCTTCGTAAGCATGAAATAGGAAAGCAAGTTTTTAACTATGCATGGAAACCATTTGCCCATTTGCACCTCGTACGTGGTGCCACACATGGTGTAGTTCCCCGGCTGTTTTAATGGCTGTCAATGGAAACGGTACAAACGCACACTGACTGCTCCATGGGGATGCAGTCCGTGCATTGAGTTGTTGAGACATGGATCACACAGGTGTAATTTTCGGAGACAAGTTACGTGGGTTTAACCATGGTATAACCGTTAAAGTATCACACCAAATGAAAAAACACAGTTTGTACTCATACTCAAATCAAAAATATGAGATTTTTGTTTGCCAAAAGTGAGTGCAGAGTTTGCTCCTTTCTTCAATTTAACATCGGCACTCGGCAAGGAAGGTCAAATTTTGCTAACCCGATGTTTCGGCGATGTTGCGAACATCAGCCCGAACCAGTGTCTGATCCGATCATCGGTTGATCCCTAAACCCAAGATTTTTGGTGAATGCAGTCTTTAATTTACTTTTCAAGTTAACATTTCCGGAAAGTATTTGTAACAAAGGTTTTCCCCGTGATAGGAAACATGGATAGCTTTCCCGAGCTGAAAGAGACAACTTACATTTGGGATGGCCACATTGATCTTGGTATCAGGGTCACTCGCCAGCAGGTACGTCTTGCGAAGCATGAGATACTCACTGTAGCCTGTAGGTTGCTTTGGTTGTACATTAGCTATCATCCTTCGTTGCCGTGCCTCAATCCTCTGTCGGATGTTGAGAAACATCTCCATGGCATTGACTCTTTCCATAGGAGCTGGCGGTGTCTGACGTCTGTCTTCCATGTTTGACGAGCATTCCCCATTAGTCTGTTGCTGCTGACGGTGCCGAGCAATCTTCCTCTTCCTGGGATGGGAGGATTCTAAGCTTGGTTCTGGTGTGGATGTGGAGGAAGCTGACTCGGCTGCTTGCATGCGTCGGCTCCTGGTCATAGGTGTGGTGATTACCACCTCCTTTTCATTACTGTTGGTCTCACTGTTGTTGTGGTTGGTGTTGGAGTTCACCATTCCTGAGTTTGATCTTAGCGTCCGTGTGGGTTTTGGAGGTTGAGCTTTCTCCGGCACAGCTGGCTGTTCTTGAGTCTTTGGAGATCCTTTCCCTGATTGACTGGTGTGGTTTGACGTAGACACTGATGATGTCACATCTGGGCTTCCCCTAGCTGGTGATCTCCGCCTTTCTAAATCTCGTAAGACAGGACTTTTGCGGTTGGTTGTGTCCGTGCTAGATGAGGCAGCAACTGAGTCCGTGTTTCCACTGGAGGTCGTTGGGTCTTGCTCAACTGGCTTTTGATTGGTTTCTGAGGGCAGAGAGGCACTTGTGGAAGAAACTGATGTAGGAGAGGTGGTGGCTTCTTTGGGCCGTGTCTGCGAGACTGTACTTGGATCCCTTGGTCTGAGCAACAGTGCTTTAATTTCTCCAGCGTTATCAGCAGAGGACGGTTGTGAGACAATGTAATACTCCCTTGCCACAGGAAACGGAGAGGGTTTCTGTTGAGGGTCAGACTTGTGCCCATCGGGGGAATTCTCCCCGAGTTCCATCCTTCCATTCTCCACAGATTTCACCTCAGGTGATGGGGACTTTGATGAGGTGCTGGCTTCCTCACTGAAGTGTCGTTCATCCTTAGATGAACGGGATCCCTGACTAGATTGACTTTGATGTCTATGATGTCTTCGATGTGATTTTTGATGTGAGCGTTCTTTGTGTCTCTTAGGACGATCTCGTCTTTCATGCTGTTGCTGTTGTGGCTGCTGCTGTTGTGCTTGAGGTTGTAGAAGTCTATCTACACTTGAATCAGACTCACTCTCCAAGCGACTGTCCGCTACAGGCATCACAGGTTTGGTATCTGTCCTCCATTCTGACACGTTATTTGCCTGAGTTTCCGCGCAGCCAGGCACCGGTCTATCCACTGGCTGTTCTGTTTCGTGATTGGTACTGGTCAGAGTGGCGGAGGTAGCTGGTAAAGATCGTGATTGGTGAGTAGACTGCGATGACTGCACAGGTGAATCCTGCCCCACAACATTACTTGAAACCATTTGCGTGTGTTGTTGTGAATCAACTGACTCTGAGGCCGTGTCTGGTGCTTTGTGGGTCTGGGCTTGCTGGACAGACATTCCAGGCAACAATGAGAGAGATGAAGTACTGAACGAAGCCAGGGAATTCATTGAAGACGAGGCTTTACTGTTCAAATTCAAATTGACTAGCGAGGTATCCTGCTTGTTGGAAGAGTTCTCTGGGAAAATGGAGCCCGATATACTGCCTGTGTTGACATGCTGCTGGGCGCTAGAATCTATCGTAGGAACCATGGCGTTACTAACGAAATTCGATTGCGGTAAAGTTCTTCCATTGCTGGTGTTCCATATGAATGAGGAGGGATTAGATTCTGCAGTAGTGCTGTCTGCTTTACTAGAATTCCCTTTGGTCTCGGTTCCTGCATTGGAGTCATCCGACATGAGTAAGTTCAAATCACTCAGACTGCTGTCTGAGTCCTCTTTTGCTCCAGCAACTCTGGGCACTCCCATATCACACATTGGAACGGTGTTGGATTCCTTGGGTGAGGAACGTGACGTGTTGTTACACACCTCTGTGGGTGACTTCAACTCTTGATGTGAGTTCCGACACTCAGTAACAACAACGCGTACAGGCTGTTGTTGCTGCTGTTGTTGCTGGGGTAGATGTTGCTGCTGCTGCTGTTTTACCATGGTTATATTAGCAGCAGAATTATTCAAAGATTTTGAATTTAGAAGAGGATCAAACAAATCACTGTCTGATGTAGTGGTTGAAGTCATGGAGTTTGGAGTGGCTCGGTCATTCAATTTAGGGATTGTTCGGGTTATTTCCATGATAGTCCCTTTGCCAGACTTGTCAGGTGACGCCCAGTGAATAGTTATCTTCTGCTCATTGGGACTCTGATCCTGATGATCAAACTCATATGGATCCGCTAAAGGGAACGAAACAAAGATACAAAGAATGATAATCATTAACCTTAGGTGAGATATAGATAAGAACAGTTAGGTTATGAAATGAAGAAAGGGTAAAAAATAATCTTGAGGTCAGCCCCCCCCAGGATGCAAGAAAGTATGGGCGAGATGAGAGGTTACATGGGTTTTATTTGCAGTAATTGGAGAAGATTAAATTGCTTCCAAGACGCAGTGTAATGGTGAGCCTCAGTTTCTTGTCTTCAGTCTTGAAAGCTACTTACGTCTAGCATCACCATTTCTCAGGTCATGATCCTCCACAGAATCCACACTCTCTGGGGATGTCGGCGGCCGTGCTTCTGCCAGGGAGGTGTCACTACTAGTCTCGATAATCTCATTCTTCATCAAGCTACGGATCTCTGCATTACAAGCCAAGTCAATGGGAGCCTTGCCTCGCTTGTTGACCTGCAGAGGGTTAGCTCCATGCTTCAGCAGTAAATCTACCACCTGCAAAAAAAAAAACCAAAAGACAACATCATCATTTACCTCTAAAAAGCTCAACCCTCACTCAATCCAAATCCATTCCACATTTAGCAGTATTTGGGCAGTTTCTGTTCTTTGCCGTCATCATCACACTGGGATTGATGTCCTAATTTTGTTCCAAGAGGTTCAGAGAAAGTGGTTGATCACTATTATTTAAATATAGCTGGATTCAGGAAGATTTCAAGTAGAGAAATCCAGAAGTTGGTATAAAACAGTTGCATAGACAAACTAGAAACCTCGTCATTAACCTTAACCCTCCTCAATCCTTCACCTGTTGGAGGACTGAGGAGTGTTAGGGTTAAGGATGTATTTGTGTAGGTTACTCGTGTAGGCTCATGCTTGCAGGGAAATGTTATGTGGGCATTAGTCGTGGATGGAGAGTATACTCCTGACATGAGTGAGGGTATGCTCTCACCGACACACAGGTCGTACTCCTGCCATTTGTGCGCTTGGGAATGTACTCGTGTTAACATGAGTAGCATGCTCGAATGCACCCTGTGATTTTCGTTTCCATTTCGTTTGAGTCAACTCAACAGTACCCTCTTATACTCTTTGAAAGCTGTAAATCTATAACTTCAACCCACAGCCAATCCTGTAAGGGTACAATCCTTGAACCTGTCTTTGATAATTCCAAAACTGCTTACCTTGACATGGCCATTGACAGCGGCATCATGTAATGGTGTGTCATCTTCCAAGCCTTGTGTGTTAACAAATGCACCAGCCTTAAGAAGTAGCTTGACAATCTCATAGTAGCCATGGTTACAGGCTTCATGAAGAGGTGTCCAACCTGGTAACAGTCAAACGATGCATTGACATCACTTTTTTGTAGAAAGACAGATAACTGTTTGTTTCTTCAAGACGTTTAGAAAAAAGAGCAGAGGCATTCCCCATGAACAATATCCCACTCCATATGGAAACACTACAGACCCATCAAGGCAGTAACTGTTAATGGAACCAACACCTGCCCAATGTTTCACTAGTATGTTTATGTAATTGTTTCATCTCTCTTTTATGCAGGCTCACTTAACCTACATGAGTAGATTCTGTTTAAATTTTCAGAGTAACTGAATGACGGCCAGAGCTTTAAGGACACGCAGCATGGTGAAACCTTTAAAGTGGCCACTCATCAAACCGGAACAGTTAGTGCTGAGAGACAGATTGGGCACACATTCAGAAGAGTATGCCATTAGGTTCTGAGAGTGCATAATCAGGTTACCGGTGGGTATGTTGAGATGTAAATCTTTGGTAAGGTTGAGTCATTGAGGTCTATGGTCTTATTGAGGAGTGTGTGAGTCAATCTATGACATCATCACATCATAACCAGCAGGTGTGAAGCAACCACCGGCATGTACATGTACACCTTATATTGAAACGTGCTTTACATATTAATATGACATTTCTGGTTGAAATAAAACAACGCAGAGTTACCATAGTCATTATCAAGCTACAGTATTTCCTTTTGGGAAGATAAAAAATTGAATGCCCCTCACACAGCATGAAGTGCAAACAAGTCTACAAAATTTTCTGATGAAAACAGTCTATAAAATAAACACTTCAAAAGTAAAGGGTTTCCTTCATGCACTACGGAAACATGAGGTCAAGTCACACACTACCAAGACAAAGAATGTGTTGTTGATTTCTTGTATTGTTTACAATTTGGAGGATTTAAGATGACTGCCAACAAAATGCTCTCCAAGAATGAGGGATAAATTCTGCACTGACCTGCAAAGTCTTGAACATTGACCTCTGCTCCTTGTTTGATCAGATTCTTGGTGGCCTGGACGTCACCTCGGATACAGGCTAGATGAAGTGGTGCCTCCCCTCGTTCATTGCGTTTGTTAGCCTTATTCTTGACTCCACCCACTGCTCCCGGGGTCATGATGGGTTTGGGTGCCGGATGATTAATGACTAGGCAAAAAGAAATCAAAAGATAAACATGTGACTACAAGACTTCTAGCGACTCTCAACACAATTTATTAGGGCATGAATCATCCTGGGCGTCAAACTAAGTGCAACGGAAATGCATGTAAGAAGAGTATGGCGAAGGGATTGGCTAATCTTTGTAAAATCTGTGTACAAGAACACAGTAAATGTCTAAAATTTGTCCAGCATGAACTAGATTTTAGTCTAAACTGCTTACCTTAGAGTATACTCTAACTGAATGTGGGTTACAGGTTACCGTTTGGATGCTATCTTAACTATAAGTCCATCACTACCTTCCCGTGGATTTTTATTCTCATTTGGGTCACTATTCATGCATGGGCTAATATTCCCAATACTGCCCCTTTTTCAGTTATTCCTATATTCTTATCTGGGTCATTTTTCTTACCTGGGCTATTATTCTCTTCATTTGCAGTCATTTGCATGAGCAGAGCCAACTGTTGCCTCTCAGACAGGGGGATGGATCGTCCTGGAGTGCCTAAGAGAGTTGGGCTACCCGGCTGAGATGTGGGCTTCTTACGCTTGGGCGTTGGCTTGGGAGGTTTTTTGTCTGTCAAACCAGAGTGTGGCAAAGGCTTCATTATAACAGTATGAATGGACATGTACACTGC